AAATACAAATAATTTCATAGTTGAACCAACAACAACAACAACAACTTTAAAAAAACATTTATAGAGCGCCTTTCACGTCGGGAGGACATCCCAAGGTGCTGGACAGTCAGGGGTCAGGACAAGTTTGTATAATGCATTTATGTCCCATGTCTGATGTTTATTTCACACTGAATTGCTGTTTTTTTACAATCCATCAAGAAATGTGAATTACAAAATCAAGGTTGAGCCAGTACTATAAGTTATTTTACCCAACTACAGAATACTGGCTTCAAAGTTGAAATTAAATTCAATAGTTTGCCAAATCTTGACAATCTAAAATGCTTCTTAAATAGAGTAAATCTAGACACGGTTGAAATGTTACCCCAGTGATGTTACTGAATTGTATTCTTTTAGCTGTCATGTTTGCCTACATAATAATTACTGTGCTTTTAATAAAGATGTTACATCAAATGTAGGTAATCTTAAATTATCTCAAAATCACATCCTTGTGTAAATAGGATTGTTTAAACTAACTTGGATCTATCATTGTAAAAGGCCTCTTAATTTAAGAAGTATCTCTCACTGCCATACAATTTGGTGAAATAGTGCAATAGTTAGGCATGTAGTGATTTACAATCCAGGTCAATGTGTTCCATAAAAGCTATGTATTAAATCAAACCAGGTTGGTGAAAAGGTTGAACCTTCCTCTCATTGTCCGAGGCGATCTCAGACACAGCTTGCACTGGGAATGCAGTATTAGCAGAGAGGAGTCAACTGTACAGACTAGAAGGACTGATGGACATCTGTTAGTCAAATAGCCAAAGCTGCCTTCATCAAGATTATTGATCAAATGTCGAACTCCCTCTATGTAACACAATTTCACTGATAGCTAATTCTTTTCCATTCCTTTCATCTCCCCAATAAGGTTAAATACAAGGGCAAACAGCGGATAGCTGAGTGCGAGTGAGCAGAGCCCTACACAATGTAAAGAATACTGCACGAGCCATTGCCTAGGGCATAAATTCTTATTGAATAATGCAAGAGTTGTGGTTTTTGGTTAAACAAATGTCTGACCTTTTTTTGTTAAACATTGTGTGCTTTTAAGTTTGCTAACCATGGAGCTATCCATTCACTCTCTGGAATTCAGCAAAATAAATGCCTTCCTAACTCATGCATTTGCCACATGATCTCCAGAAGGGATTCTGAAATCTCCTGTTTTTATAAAACATTATCTACAAGAATTTCAATAGCTGAGTTTCATGAGGTTTTAGCTTGTGTTTACTTTACCAGAAGGTGACAATTTGGATCAAAAGGATTATTTAAAGGTCAAAGTAAATGTCTTTACCAGATGTAAACAGCCATGTGATGAGGAGATGGTAAAGGAAAAAGGAAATAGGTGGCAATGGAGAGTTAAGGGGATTATCTAACAGGTCAGTGCTAATGTTCTGTTAATTGACCTGCTCTTGGTGTAGAGGCCTGATTGCATCATATGATGTCCGGCTCTCTGTAACAAAATGCCCTTGTACACAATGATACAGGGCACCAGCTGTACAAGAATTTCTATGGGAATTTAACACATTTTACTGAATAAGGATTATTGGCAAGTGCTGCTCCATAAATCTATAACTCACTATTATTGGAGTGCATATAAGGAATGCATAGATACTAACAACTTCTCACTGTCTAGCTATTAGTTCTAATACGATCCTAGTTTAATTGCTCCCCACTCCCGCTTGTGATTTAGTAAAGTTGGCACGATCGAGATTCAGATCTCATCAACAATACAATATCATAAGACTTAATCCACAGACACTGACAATGTTTTGTCATTCACAAACAGCAAGCTCAAAAGGAACAGCACTTGTATTACTGTGTGCGAGGCAGGTCCCGGGAAGAGGTCAGGGCTGACCCAGGGAGGTTGAGGTTGGCCAGAACTCTGAGAGAAATGTCTTTCTCTTTTCAAACTGGATCTTTAACAATTACCTGAAAGGCAGACAGAACTACAGTTTTAACATTTCCTCTGAAGGAAAGCACCACCGACAGTGTAGCACATCCCCAGCACTGTGATTCGTGGACCTGCCCTTGCCTGGATCGAATCCTATCTCTCTCACCATCTCCACTTTGTTGCCTCTAACAGTTTCTCCTCCAGCCCCCGCACTGTCACGTCTGGCGTCCCTCAGGGATCTGTCCTTGGCTCTTTTCTCTATAATATCTACATGCTCCCCCTTGGTGACATCATCCGCAGACATGGGGTCAACTTCCATATGTATGCGGATGACACCCAACTCTATCTTTCTGCCTCTACCCTCAACTCCAGGACCACTACTGTCCTGACAGACTGCCTGTCGGACATCAAGTCCTGGATGAGGACAAATTTCCTACAGTTGAATGTGAACAAGTCTGAGGCTCTCCTGATTGGCTCGCGCCAGTGCCTCAGCACCTCAGGCTCTGCAGCATCAACCTCCATGGTTACACACTACAACTCACCAGCCAGTCAGGAACCTAGGTATCTTGCTCGACCTTCAACTGTCCTTTCTTCCCCACATCCAAGCCATGACCCGCTCTGCCTTCCCTCACCTCCGTAACATCGCCCGACTCCGCCACTATCTCATCCCTCAGGCCGCTGAAACTCTTGTTCATGCCTTCATCACCTCCAGGCTCAACTATGCAAACACCCTACTTGTCGGCCTTCCCAACTCCGCCCTCAACAGGCCGCAGATAATCCAGAACTCTGCAGTCCGTGTCCTCTCCCGCACTAAACTCCGTGCCCCCATCTCCCCATTCTCGCCCAACTCCATTGGTTCCCTATCCTTCAGAGGATCCAGTTCAAGATCCTGGTCCTCACCTACAAAGCCCTCCATGGCCTCGCCCCACCCTACCTCTGCGACCTCCTAACCCTCTACCAAGCTGCCCACTCCCTCTACTCAGCCGGTTCCGGCCTGCTCCATGTTCCCTGACCCACCAGCCCCACCACTGGCGGGAGAGCCTTCAGACACTCTGCCCCCAACCTCTGGAATTTCATCCCCAAATCACTCCGCCTCACCCCCTCCTAAGCCTCCTTCAAGTCCCACCTCAAAACCTTCCTCTTCGACCATGCCATCGGTCACCCCCCATTCGCCTCCACTCTCCCTCCCTGACCCCAGCTCAGATCTGAAATGCTGTACACTGTCCAGCACCTTGGGATGTCCTCCCGACGTGAAAGGCGCTAAACAAATGTAATCTTGTTGTTGTGTGCTCAAAATTCTGATGTGGGGCTTGAACCAGCAACCTTCTGACTTGGAGGCGAGAATGCTACAAACTGATCCAGGCTGACAACTAAGAAGGATGAGTTGATGTGACATTAATTCAAGCACATTTTTATCATTTGATGTTAGGCATCCACTTTGAAAATATTAAGTAAAGTTTACAAGCACAGTAAAAAGTAAGACACTTTATTACACAAAGGTATACTTAATGACAGGATGCCGAAAGTGGAATTGATTCTGTGATTGTTTGTTAATAGCAATTATCTACTGCACTAGTTACGTGACTCATATTCAGGAGCTGGATAAATTCTGTACTCAGTGGTTTCCATTGAATGTATGGTCTGTACCAAACGTACGGGCATACATCAGGAATTCATAATAAAACTCAATCTTACTATAATATTAATTTTGTTTTTGTCTGGGCTATTATAAACTATCCATTAGGGCTTTTGCTTGAAGGGTTCAGGACATGACTATGCCTCCAAATCTGCTTTGAATTACTACAGACATAGTTGGCATGTCTCCTTAGAGCCAGTTCAGTTCCAGAAAGAGCTTGCTTGTATCCCTCAAGAGGAATATTATTAGACATGATATTGTATCAAACTGAAAACTACCACTTGGCCCTACAACGTCCAATTGCAAGTCCCCTGCTCAACCAATTGATCTATCTCCAGGATGTTATGTCTCTCCTTGAAGTTCCTTTCATGCTCTGATTTTATCTGGAATCTTGAAAATTGTATTATTCAAGGTTAAAGTTAGAAACTAAAATTACATGTCACGAATAATGTATATTTATTGACTCATGACTTTGCAGCATGTGTACATATTCCAAGAATTTAAATAGTTATCAATACTGCTGCATGTGGTTTTAATAAAAAACAGGCAGACATTTCAGTTATTTTCTGACTGAGTACCTTTAATATTCATATCTACAGTAGAATTGAACGATGCCGAGAGAAAGTCAGACTAAGCCCTATGATGAATTATTAAATATATAAATTAGGTTGTTTCTAGGGCTGAGTGGAATACAAAGGTCACGCCCGTTCCACATGCCAGAATAACATTTTGCAAATGACAGACCATTAAATAACCAAAATGTAATTCACATAAGTGACATGGAACAGACAGTACAGACTGTGGAGCGATGTCATAACAACTACGTGTCACAAAATTATGAGTGAATAATGGGGTGTTTCCTAACGGAAGAGAATTAAGAGTCTGGTTGCCGCTCATGGTGGGTTCAAGTAGCAAATGTGACACTTAAACCTGCTTTAAATTAATTAAAGAGGTCTTTTTTTTTAAAAAGGAGTGTCCAAATAATGACTGGCCTCAATCAGGATGCCTTCTTCGGTCTATAAAGAACCTGCTGTGAGGTTAGCGGTCTGACCCCATCCAGTGGTTACAGTGTGCAACAGCCTTGATTACCATTCACTTCCCAGCATCGATCTTGCAAAGATCATGACAAATCTTACTGGGGAAAAGAGCCAGAAACCTGGATTAATTAATTAATGACGGGAAGGGGTGATCACCGCGGACACGACCGAAAGGGTCTCCTCCTGGGCTTGAGGCTTTCAAGTCCAGTTGGTCGGAAAACATCTGGATGCTGACAAGTGTGGTGTGGGATGGAAACCCATCAGGTCCAGAGATAATGGTCCTACAGAGGCTGCTCTGTGTTGTGTGTCTGTGTGTCTGTCTGTCACACTCTCGCCCGGAACCTTTATTCGGTCGGTACTGGGGAGGGGGAAGGAATTGAGTGCTGGACCAGAGCGGCCGGGAAGGGTTTGAGCGGCGGACCGGCTCGGCGTGCTGATGGAGGGGATGGAGGGGCGGCTGGAGGATGGCGTGTGTTACCGGCTTCACTTGGCCGGGGAGCCGCGGCCGAGCGGGGAAACCTCGCAGCAGCGGTTGGAGCAGATCCTGGCCCTCCTGGCCTCGCCCTGCGGCAACTACATCTGGCACAACGAGCCCTTTAATCTGACGCACGTCCCGGCCCGAGGTGAGTGAGTCTCAATCCCCCCCCACCCCACCCCACCCCCCCACCCCCCCCCCCACCCCCCACCCCCCACCCACCCCCCGGTGACGGGGCGCACAAGTCATCGCTGTTCGTGAGAATATACCAAAAAAAATATTATTATATGAGGACCAGTGTTTTTACTGGTCATTCCAGTCCGCCACCGTTTGGCCCCCAAAATCCACAGTCACTACACTTGACTCTGCGAAGCGCTTTGAGAGGTCATCGGAGATGGTGATGAGGCGCCACGTCAAATGCGAGGAGTGTTATCGCAACGTGTGGTTGGAATGGTCGTGAAGCTGTGGACTGGACAAGTGGTTGATGATCCATTTGCTAAATGTACTGATCTCAGTCCACAGACATATGTGGAAAAAAATTCGCCCACAAATATACAGTCAATTCGCTTCACAGCATATTCTGTGGAGCGCTTTGAGACGTCTAGAAGATGTGAAAAGCGCTATACCAAATGCAAGGATTATTATATTATTATTATTATGTAGGTAATGTCTATAGTTTTTTTTAAGCTCTGTTGCGTAATACTTGATCGTGACAGAGATATTAAAAGCAGTGTGAAATTGCAAGTCTCCGTTCTTCTGTAGGAGAGGTTCCTGCCCACATCGGTGGAGTCACAAACTTTGGTGACAACGTGGACGATGAATGGTTCATCGTGTACCTCATTCAGCGGGTTTCAAAGGAGTTTCCAGACTTGGTGGCAAGGTACTGCCTGGGAAACAATTAGATGTATTCTAATTAACTAAGGAAACTTCAAAACAAAATCAAACAGCTTGATGACAGAGCTGTATTGAAACACTTCATGGGAATTATTTGCAAATAATTGATTTCTTGCTTGAATTACCACCCTTTTGCAATTTGTGTGTTTATTTTTAAAGTTTGAGTATATCATTCATGCCTTTTCTCTGGTGCCAAATACAGTATATGCTAATTCTATTCTGGAACTGTGGCAAAAGGGATTTTTCAGAATTTATCAATTCTATTGACTTTATATAAATATTCACAACAGGATAGCAGTATATTTGTTTCTTCGACAGGTTATTTGTTAAAGAAGTTAAAAGTTATTTTCTTGCAAAACAAAGTAATTCAATCTCTCGATGGCTTATTGGGATTCTAATTATTGGATAGAAGTTTTAACAGATTTAAGTAATGTCCGTTACAGTTTTACTGGATAGAATAGCAATTGGGCCATTGTCCTTTCTCCTGTAGGATATGGGGTTAAATGCATTCCAGACCGATGTGAGGAATCTTCTCTCAAAACTGAGTTAGCGCAGTTGCAATACAAATTCTCCTAGGGCACCAGTTCACACCCAAGAGTCACCATAAATTGGCAGTCTCCACAGAGGCTAGAATAATGCCTGGTGGGAAATATTGCTCTGGTGTAATTGAGGTTAAAGCACAATTCTGACACAATAAAGATAATTGTCATTTTGAGCAGTCTGTGTTGCAGTACATTGTGACAGTAGCCGCAATAAGACTTTTTTTGGTGGGGAAGACAATTAATTCTGTCTGTCAGTTGAATATCTAAAGAGAAAGAGATGGTTTGTTTCATATTTCCTTGTTGTCTCTGTTTTCAGTATTGAGGATAATGATGGGGAGTTCTTGTTGATCGAGGCTGCGGAGTACCTGCCCAAATGGTTGAACCCTGAGACCAGTACAAACAGGGTAAGGACATTTAGCTTGACCATACAGGATACGGTAACTCAGGATACATATTATTGTTTTAAATTAATTCTCAGCAAGAACTTTCTGAATAAAAGTCTCTTTGTGCTTGTATATAGCTTTAATGTTGAGCTTGGTTGTCTATTAAAAGGGCAGTTCTACAATTTAATTGTGTACTGCTCACTGTGCCAGGATCACAATACTTTATTAAAAGAATAACTGTTGCTGGACTGATATTTCAAAAATCTATCTCCTGTATTATTACATTTTATTTCTGTCATCTCATAGGTATTTTTCTATCATGGAAAATTGCACATCATCCCACTCCCTCAGAACCCAGGTGAAGTATCATGGTTGCCAGTTAGCAATCCCACCCTCCCTCAAGCTCTGAGCCTACTCGCCACTCATTCTGAAAAGTGCCTGGCAGCAGGGCCAATACGTGAAGCTGTAGACAAACGTATTCACAGGTAACTGGAGGTTGAAGGGTCCCACAGCATAAGGTTGCTTGCCAGCAACCTTGTGGTATAAAAGTGGCAAAGAAAAACTGAGCTAGCTCATTGGAGTTGTGATACCAGAGTAAGAACTCCAATCTGACCACGAGGCTGGAAGGTAGTCTATGATTGTAGGGTTGCATCAACCGGTCTCATAACTCCAGATATGGATGCTGGACAACACCTGCAATCATAATTTTTTTACTCCTTAAAACTTTACCTGACATTTGATACATTCTTCAGTTGCTGTAGTTTTGAGGCACCCAGCTCATTCTGAAGATATTGAAATCTCGAAACGTACTTCAGTAGAATTTGTTTATCATTATAGTGCTGTTTAATATTACATCTGGAGGGGAAAGAAGTTCTTGCTTTGGACGCTCAGTGTATGTCGTTTTTAGTTTGTAGCTGACAAACGTTTAAGTGGACTTTGAACGTGTAACTTATTTTATTTCTGAATAGCATTTCTTTGTCATCCACAGTTTCCCAGGGAAGATTCGAGATAATCAACACCAAGCTTACTGCTATGTGCCAGCAGGTATTGCAGCAGTATTGAAACATCGTCCTGACTTGTTGGCACCTGCTGTTCAGGCTTTTTATCTGCGAGACCCCATTGATCTAAATGCATGTCGCATCTTTAAAATCTTTCAGCCAGATACCCGTGTAATGACTCTGGTAAGGACCTTGCTGGTCAAGCATAAATTGGGGTAGACATTACTAGGAACTAGAACATTAAGGTGTGAGCAGATTTTAATGTAGCTGAAATTTTGATTGTTCGTTTCTGATATACAACTGGGAGAGAGAGAAAGGAGCTAATAAGAATAAAAAGGCAATCCATTGACTCTCTCCATTAAAATGTATTCTTTCAGCATGTCAAAGTTCAGTGTGTTCTCTGAAGACATCATTGTTCTCTCATCAACATGTATGTTCTGCTTTAAAATGAGATACAAATATAGTATTTTCTCAGCAAGTTTATTCTGTGAGACTGGTTCTGCACCAATGTCTGCAGTAGAGATGTTCCATGCTTGTCAGCTGACCTGAACACCGAGTATATATTTAACTCTTCCAATGCTTTGGTTGATAGCAATTAAAATCAGAAATGTTTGCACCTCCTCTTGCTCTGACGGCTAAGTGAGCAGATTCAACACGCTGTGTGGAACCAGGCCATGTAAGATAAAGTGTCCAGGTCCCAGCAAAAGAGGCCCATCATCAGAAGAGAGGTGGAAAAAATAAGAATGGGCGGAGGAACAAAACAAGATCAGTCACTCGCATTGGAAATTTTGCAACATGATGAATGTACTTGATACAGCAGTTACCCTAAGAGATGTGTTTTCTCATGTTTCATTCTTCTCTCTTTTAGGTGACATTTACTAAATGTTTGTACGCCCAATTGCAGCAACAGCGATTCATCCCAGACAGGCGCAGTGGGTATACACTGCCAGCACAATCTGACAAGCACTTTAAAGCACATGAACTGGGCATGAAATTGGTAGGTAATTGAGACAACTTTTTAGAAAAAGTTACCATGATTTTTTAAGAGGCTATCACCACTGAAATGAGCAATTATATCTGCTGAATTGATAGAGCCACTAAATGACTAACGGTGCCCAAAATTGCTCTCCGACATCTCCAATAGCTCTGAAATGTTTAGAAAGCATGTCCAGAAACCAAGGGAAGAGGAATGATATTTTTCCTCCCAGAGAGAAACATACAAATCTGCAGGGCAGAAGTTTCCATCAAGCATTCACCAGCTCACAAAGTATCCTAAAATAAGTTTGAAATAACCATAAAGTAATCTGGTTCTTCCTCCTTTCCATTCATACTTTAATTTTGTTTAAATGCAGCTGTAACCATTTTTGGTGATGGTCAGCTGCTGGATGATTTTCCTCTGATGTGAATTTTAAGGCCAACTATAAATATTTATTGTAAATCGTTTATTTTGCTAGGCCCATGGCTTTGAGATCCTGTGTTCCAAATCTTCACAACCTGTGGCTAAAACAGAGTCTGGAATCAGCACGCAAAGTAACCCCCACTGGAAAGGATTTTTGAGCAGTTTAACAAAGAGTGACTATTTCAAGGTAAGATCTGATGCCTTTTATATTTCTTCAGCAGTGGCGCTACTAGATAGTTGCAGGTAAATGTGTTGGATTAGGTTGATATCCAGTAAACATTGTTCAGGCTCTCTTGTTATCCCCCCCAGTTAAAATTAGTCTCATGTCTGTTTGTGGGACATTGCTGTGCCCAAATTGGCTGCTGCATTCGCCTACAACATACACACTTACATCAGACAACTTTGCAATGTATCCAGTGAAGCTCCTTGAGATGTCTTCTCAAAATGAAAGGCACCACATCAAATGTAAGGATGTAATGAACAGTATCCATTACCAGAAGTGGGGAAGGAAAATGTGATGATCTAAAAGTTTCCAGACAATACAAAGGTGCTACCTACGAAGCAAATGAATTCAAACTCAATGTTAGTGCAGTGTAGAAGAAGCAATACTCTGCATCCAACCTAAGTTAATGTGGTCCTAAGAATTGCATATGTGATTCCTGATTCAGTAAAGCAAGAGCAAAGCAACTTTCATTTCCTGTATCAGTTGTTCAGTTACTGAGTGAACAAGACAATTTTCTACTAATTGAGTGGTGTTTGCTTAACTTTCCTTTCATGGGACATGTTAGCAGTTGACCATCGTGATGGAATTTCAGTGGTCAGTTTTATCGTATGTTGTTGTCCAGTTAACTGAAAGAAATGTAAAAATGTTGGCAAAAGGCAAAAATTAAGGTTTAATAACTATTTGTAATATTCTATTCTTACCACCAGGTAACATTATTATACTATATGTGATAAAATTAAGAACTATCTTATGATTCAAGATTGTACACCCTCTAGTGGTAGGTGACTGCTGAGAAAAACAATCTAGATTTCAGCTATCACCCAACCACTCCCAAGTGTTTTCCAGTGAAGTGGGTGTTAACTGTAATATAGAATTTTTCCTACACTGCTCCAAAATAGATTCCCTCTCCCAAGCCCAGACATGCAGAGCTTAATTATAATGTCTCTGTTGCTAACCTCACTGCAATGAGCTAACTCAGCACAGAACAGAGATCGGTCAGTCAGGCATACAAGCTAATGACACTATGAGGTTGCCTCTTGAGTACAATTTGTGAGCTAGAAGGGGAATGCTTTGAAGGCATTGGAATAGTGATTCGGACATTTACGTAACACTTTTCATGGCTTTAAATCCTAGGGTTTCCTGTACATCTACTAGCGACATAAGTAATAACTCTGATGCATAGAATGACAAGTGCTGCCTTTGTCATGTATTCATCTGATCTACCAGATACTGCAAAGCCAAGCGGTTGCACAGAAAATCCATCCTTAAATATTATGGAATTGTTTTCAAAATATCACTGTTTATACTGCCATCAATCAAGGGTCTTTGTTTTTTGCAAACAGCAAACTATGGCAATGCACAACAGTAAGCACTGATTATCATTGTTTGCCTTAAAGGAGAGAGAAAATGAATTGATCAATAGTTGAAAGTTTCTTTTTATATATGTTTTGGTATTTTAATGTGAGCATGTTGCAAGTTATGTGTTTGTGTCTGACAGGGGGAGCTGGAGGGTTCTGCACATTACAGAGAACTACTCCGAACAGCAGAAATTTATTTCCAACAGTCAGTCGTCAAACCTGAAAGGTACAGTGCCAGGAACACGCATTTATATTCACCGAATGAACCTTTGTACTCTTGGACTATAGCTGTGCTTTTCAACTTCACCTGAACCTGTTAGTTCATGAATGAATTGTGCAGATTACCATGAACAAATTATTTTGATCAAACTAAGTGCACCTTTAAATCACAGGAGTATTACACCAAAAATAAGCATGCAAACATTTCTCCAAAGCTTCGCGTCACATGTTTTCCCTTATGCATCTCAATACACCCACACTTGTACACATATATAGATTATTTACATATATATATAATATTTATTTAATGTTCACTTTGACACACAGACCAAGCAAAAAAATGTTTTATACTTGCCTAGTTACACCTTGAATGGGTCATTGAATTTTCAGGATTCTATCAAATTCCTTCATTGCTAGTGGATATTTGTTTATAAAATTCAATTCTGTTCTTTCCTCCCCTTAGTTCGTCTGCCTTCAACCCAGGGGAGAATATCCTGCATCTTTTGCAAACTCTCTGCTACAGCGCAGAGGAACTAAAGAAAGAAGAAGACAACCTCCCTCCAGAGGATGGTCGGTATATAGTCTTTGAAGTGTTTTGTGTGAATTTGTGTATTTTGCAGGCCAAAGGAATTTTGCTGTGATGAAAATTCTCTTGTACAGTGTCACGTCTAATTTGATAGTTGGAAGTCTAGCATTTTGCAAGTTAAATGAGATGCGTGCTGCAAAATGTAAAGTGTAATTTGAAAGGTTACTAGCATGCCTTTAACCCTATAATAGTAATACTTGCATTTACCCAGCGCTTCATTTCCTTATCTCTGATTGAGCATGAGAAGCTTGTTGACTTACTTAGACTTTCTAATTTGTTTCCCTGCATACTTCCCCTTAAAACAAAACACTCCGAAACCTTGCAACTAACTAAATCTTGCAACTAAAGGTCGAGTGTAAAACAATAATGTGCGGTTCAGACATATTGTATGTAACTCTTTGTCCCAACCTATGAGATTTGTAATTACATGCAGTTTGAACTTGAAATCTTCGTTTGACAAGCTACAATGGCAATTATACATGAATATTAACTTCATTCTGCCCCAAACACAAGCACATACACATACTTCTCACTTATAGAAAAATACAACAGAAGGAACTAGATCTTAAACTGACAAAGGTAAACAATGTAGCTTCTTGCATGGGCAGAAATCTCTTGAATTTTATGAGCGTCAAAATCTGTTCCTCAATTTTTAAAACCTCAATTTTTAAGATAAATAGGATAAGCAGATGTCTTTCCACATATCCTGACTTGACAAAAATGTTCTACTATCTTTACTGCTTCTTCTGCAAAAATACTTATGTAGTTTCTCAAAGCAGTGAAACTAATTTCCACAAAGCTGTGAAGTATAAGTTAATTGGGATGTGTTTCTGGTATTATTAGTCAATGCTTGACAGGAACACTGCACACATCTGGGACTGGAACAGATTGCAAGGTTAACATTGAGCAGAGTTCTATCTTGAATCGGGCCCTTATTACAGTGCAGTAATATTTTTAGATGGAGTTCAGTGTAAGATATGAATATAGTCTTACGTTTAAAAGATTTTTGTGTTAGTCAAAGAAGGTGAGGGAGTTCGCTCAGTGCTTTTATGATTGAGAGGGACTTACATGGACATGTGGACATGAAACAAATCTTACTCTGAGGTTACGTGCTGTCCCCTCACGTTCCCATGATCAGTGAGAGATTCTGGATAAGTAGTTTTCCCAAAGGGTCACTCATAACTTTGGAATACTGTCCTTCAGCCCCTCCTTAACCCTCTCTCCCGCCTTAAGACCTTCCATTTCAACAGTGCTTATGGTTACCTACCAGCCACCCCACCCAGCTCGGAGTCAGGCTACGCCATTGTTAAGCACCCTGAGACGCTGCCCTGTTTGGAGGGTGTTATATAAGTGCAAGTTGTTATTGTTTTATGCGTTTCAACCTACTTTGGATTCATCTTTGTCTAGATAACAGCTGGCTGGTAATTTCACCAGAGGAGCTTGATCATATGCTAGAGGAGGCTTCTGGGAAGAAACTGCTGAATTCTGTCAGCCCAGAGGAGTGCTATGATTTGCAGGAGGTCACAGAAAGCATGAAGGCTTTTGTATCAAAAGTATCCACGCATGAAGGTGCAGAACTGCCATGGTATGAAGTTCAGATTTTCAAACAATTTTCAGTTTGACAGGTTAGATACATGTTTGACTAGAGTCATATATCTTTGGTCCTTTGCTTTGTCCATATCTGAGAAATACCAGGATGTGGAAGATGGAATTACTGAATCTGCTCCTTACAGACTCATCCTTTCTTTGAATTAGTTATAATGTTTTTAAAACACACAAAAAACAGCACAGCATTTCTGGTGCCTTCTTCTGAGATTATTTGCTCACTGTCCATTCAGTTGATGATAAACCCAGAAGTTAGAAGAGTTTCTGAGATATTGAGATATTGAAGATAACTATTCATTAGACTTGTAATGACCTGACCTAAACGTGAAAGGCAAGGGATTATGAAGGGTATAATGAATGCCGAGGAAAACCAGACCATTGCGGCATCTTTCACATTTTTTTTATCTTTATCTGTCAGTCTGGCTCCTTGTGGAAAAGCACATTCCTTCATAAGGCTTGCCATACAACAGATAAGATAGCATAATTTCTGTTTTATAAAAAAATGTAAATGTTTCCCAGAAGTATCCTGTATTCAAATACAGGGCAGACGAGCATCTTTTTCCCTGGTCTTTATCAGACTTTTGCGCCCCTTGTTGGAAAATTTGTAACTTGTTCTCTTCTCCTTGGGCAGTGAAATACTTCTACTCATTCCCTTCAAACAGACTAGTTGGAATCTGGATGTTAGTAAAATATATGAGAGGTTTTGTGAGGTGGAAACACAGCCTGCTGGTACACGGCTCTGCTCTGCCAGGGGACACCTACACACTCTTGTTAAATAAGGCAGCTCGCTGTGTTTATTAAGTATATACCAGAACAGTTGCAGCTTCAGTATTTAGTTTTGGCTCAGTTAGCCAATGTACCCAAGACAGGAGTGGAGTGTCATGCTACACTTGGTGTAAGAGTCCCGATTAGTGAGAGAATAATCACCCAGGATTCTCACTCCTGGTCACCATCTAAGCATGCATGCTAAAGGTGCTTGTGTGCAAAAAAAATGTGAAATCCTATCATGGAATAGGTCCATACTTAAGCTGAAGCACAGCCTCTGTGCCCTTAGTTCTGTCTTTACATAATTTAGGAAGAAACATTATTAATGGTACATTACATTTTTTTCATTTTTTGGTGTCTCATATGTGATAAAGTTGCTTCCACTTTTAACTTTTTTGTCTTTTTTCAATGTTCCTTCAGGTCTTCATCTGCTAGTCAAGTCCAATTTGACGTGAACACCTTTACCAGTGCCTTAGAAAAGATTCTCAGTAGGTTTTTGTGTTAGTGCTGGGCTTATGGTGTATAACAGTTTGCTGTTCAGATTACTTCAAATGGAATTTTACTGTTCAGTCTAAAATAATTAGCATATAGTGGCACAGGGGATTGTTGTGAAAATTTGCAGGTAAGAATACCTTGAGTGATGAAAAGTCATGAAATACTGCTTTGTATCATGCATTTAAAGAATGTTTTGCAATGTGATTTGTTGTATTTCAAATATACTTTGATTAAAATCTCCAGCAAAATGTTCAACACAAATTGGGACTACAGCAGTTACTGAAATGCCAAACTAGAGCTTGGACTACCAATCTTTCCAAATGTGTCCATTTTCAACTACGTGTTTGGGTGCCGAGAAAGGAAAGACTGTCTTGTAACACCACTTGTTAGCTGAGAGAAGTTTATTTGTGATCAGTGGAAGAGTGATGGCAATTGTGGAAAAGTCCCTTGGACTTTGGGTGAAGAAATTAAAGTCATAGATATCTTTTGCTTTTAACTTGATCTCAATGCAATAAGCGCTAGTCCGTAAAACATTGCCAGATTATTTTCCAGGAAGTTTCAATAATTAAACCAGTAATTAGGGTAATTAAACTACAAGTGCATTTATTTCCAGTAAAAGCAACTGTTGTTGACATGAACTAATTATAACTTACCTAACATGACAAGCCACTTGGGGTACACACATTAGTCACCTCCCTGCCTCTGACATGATTTTTGAAAATTAAAACCCGCACTCTTGTCTTTGGTTATAGGTGTGGAATCAGACGATTGTGATTCTGATGATATAGATGATGATGATGATTTCTTCGACGCTGAGTCTTACACTGATGAGAGAATGCAGGAAGGGGAGCCGTCAACCACAGAGACTCTTGAGAACCTTCGTGACTACATGAAACAGATGGACTTGGAGCTTGCAAGTACCAACATTGGCAAAAGCTTTACCAAGGTGACGGAAGAAGTACGTTCTCTGCACGATTGGTTCCTCACTGTATTTAGATTCTCACAAGAGAACATATATGACTGACAGTTCAATTTCATGTTTGGGTTACTGAAGTGCTCTACTGGGGGACTGCTGCAATGGTGGAGATGCGATCCCTCAAAAGAGACATTAAAAACAACTATGGGTTCATGTGGAGGTAAAGATCCTATGCCTCTTCTGTCCTCAGGAAAGCAGGCATGCTACTGTTAATCTAAGCAAATGCATGTAAAATCTGCACTTTTTTAACACTTAGCCGAAAAAAACGAAATTCAATTTCTAACAACGCAAATAAGGAAAGGCTGCTACATTCTTAAAAAATACTGTTTCTCTGTTGATATAGTTTTGAGTCCTCCATGGGAATTGTAGTTATTCTTCAAAATTGGGAGAAACATCATCACTACGTGGGAGTTTAAGAATCGGGAATATTTCTCTGTACACTTGTTGCACTAAATCATTATATTAATTTATAATAATCTGCATTTGGTGTAGTGCTTTTCATGTCAGGAGGGTGACTGAAAGCACTTCACGTGATTTTCTGTAGTATGTAGTGACTGTATTTGTAGTCGAATGTGGCAGTCCATTTGTACATAGCAATGACCCACAAACAGCTATTTAAGTGAATGACCAATTTGAGGGATTGTTGGCCGGACACTGAGATGTTTACCATCCTTTTGAACAGGCAGTCAAGACCTTGGTGAGTTCTACCACTGAGCCAGGCTGACACGTATTTAATGTAGATTTCTATTTAATCCTCCCACAGACTGGTTCAGACAGATCGAAAACCATTGTAGAAGCAGGCAATGAATCAGAGACCGAGTCAGAAAGGAATGTGGAGACTCACCCTGTAGATGTGGACTTGAATCTGGTGCAGAATCTGCTTCAGTCTTACAGCTCACAAACCGGCCTGGCTGGTCCCGCTTCCAACATTCTGCAGAGCATGGGTGTGCGGCTTCCGGATAACCAGGAGAATTGAAGCTCGTACTAGAAACTGTTATTGTGAAGCCTCAGCAATGAACACTTACCAGTGTCTCAATCCCTATCGCTGACTTCAAAATGTGCAGTTACATTCTAACTCGTCGGTGAAGTCTCGAAGGATGTTTATGACGATCAAAAAGTGAGATTTGTCATGGACTAGAGTGGACGTGCAGTGGACTAATTCATGTGGAATCAATGATCCTGTATACTCTGTATATAGTAAAAATAAGTTTTTGAGTAAAACCTTCAAATTATTTTCAAGACTAAGTAAATGTCTGTGGACATTCAAAATGGCAAATGAACAACAACAAATTCCTTTTATATAACGCCTTACTCATCGGGAGACGTCTCAAGGCTCTGGACAGTCAAGTGTTTGAACAAATGAGAAATACAGTATTGGGAGTCGATGGTAGATTTAGAGGGTATGGAATGAAGTAGATTATCAAGTCCATCAGAGCAATGCTCCTTATTAACATTTATAGAGTGAAAATTATGCATTCCATAATTTGATTTGTACATAATTTTACACTACCATGATAAAACTCATAAAATGTATTTTTAATATTCACTAATTTGGGCAAAATAATTGAGGATATGAGATCAGTGTGGTGGCTCCAGGATGATACGTTATGGTGGGAAGATGCAGATTTCAGTGCTGTATTTCTGCACCTGGTGAATTGAATTTCACTGTTGTGTGAGGTAAAAGAGGAAGCTAGATTGTTCCCCAAGGGGAGTGAGTCATCCTGGGCAATTCACAAGTGGATTATTCGTTGTTCCACAAATGGAAACATCTATCATATTTCATACCTGGTCTTGGCAACTTTTCAGATAAAGCATTTTTATTGCTTCAAGTATGCAATAGTCATTAGAAAATCATGCCCAGATTTGTCAACGTCCACAAGCTACATATAAATGAAATAAATTAATTTATCATAATTGTATTCAAACTGATTGGTAAAAGAGGTTTGTAAAGGTGTGTTTGTAAATAGAATCATTAGGACACCATACCACTAGAAAACTGGCTTTTATTTCCACTGAATTTTCCAATTAAAGTTGTCCTTAAATAACTTAACGTGTAATGTCACAACATAGTAAAATTTCCCATTGAATTTATTATCACAGCTAGGGCAGCAATTTGAGTTGGTAAGATTGGTCTCACAACTGTCAAGTGGAGAAATCAGCAAGGGCTCCCACTCCTGACCTGCTATACAAAAATTCCTGCTGGAAGGTGTGCACGTGTGGACGTCAGATGAATACATGATCGGACTTGGCTGTGTCTTCCCCCCCCACTCCCCCCACCCACCGTCCCCTACCTCCCCCCCCCACAGGATATTGGCCAGGATATTGGGGGAACTTCAGTTTAATGTCTCATCTGAAGGACAGCACCTTCAACAATGAAGCACTCTCCAACATTGGTTTGGAGTGTCAGCCTAGACTGTGAGCCACTTGGGCAACATACTGGAGGATATTGAAATCCTGTGTCCATGGAACGACACATCCAGTTGAAGTAGATCAAGGAGTCCAACATTTTCAGGAATGAGGAAGGAGATTGGCATATAAATAACATGTCTGCCAACAGCTCTGTGCAATGTTAATGCACCAGTGCTAAATTAACCATAGAGACAAAATGTTTGTTCAGTTGCAAAAACTAAACAGACAATAATTGTGGCAAGGAGAAGGGTGTAGACCTTTGTAGGGCTGGGGCTCTAGGAGCCCTTTCTGAACACTTCATTACATTCCAAAATTTGGGATGCATAATTTTTAGATAAGGATTCCTTCTGTCTCTTTTCTTAATGGTTTGTCTCTAGAGTCCTGGTACATATAGGTGCCTAGTCCACCAGCACTGATGAGAACGCTGATGAGAAGTGGCACTGATGAAGTCATTCTTTGATGTGTTGCTATGGTTTTCAGAGTCATTACATTTATCTTTGCAACCTCCATCATGTTTGCCATCAACGCTGATTTCAGCAAGGCACACAGATAAATGAAGAAATTCAGTAAACATCCCAACACTAATACCAAGGCGAAATATCCTAGAAAGATTAAGCTGTTCCAGCTGCCTGACGGGAAGATCTGAGAGGAATCTGGATGGAGAACACAGTACAGAAAGAGCATTGGACAGCTGTTGATGGTACAGATGTAGTAAATGTCCATAGCTGATTTCTCACAATCTTCACCAATCTTCTGAATCAAAGTGAGGTATGTGCTTTCAAACATGATGCTTATAAATCCATACAGACACACAATACCTTTGAGGTCGAAGTATTCCAGCCCTAAGGAGGAACACAATTAGTAAAACTGTCAGTTTAGAATATGCCGTAAAACATGGGCAAGAAGTAAGCATTTCAAATTAAAGTCTCTGTCTGGATGTTTGGTTCTTGCAATATAATTCCAGCATTTAAAAATACTATTGTGCCTAAATATCTGTTACACTGTCTTTTTTATCAATCCCATGTCCACCTTTTGCCCCATATTCCTCAATGTTTTTATTGTTCAGGTATGTATCCATGTCTTCGACAGGTCAAATAAAGCTGTTGTGTGTCTCACATTGCAATCACTTGCAATATTCTATTTTGACAGCTGGCTTACTTTTATAATTCAAATGTGAATACATTATATTAATATCCTGTAATTTTACGTAGATGACAAGCATAAATTTCCAATTAGAACAGGAATTAACAAATGATTGTTGACAGAATTTCTATATCATTAAATCCAGTTGTATTTTGCAAAGCAATTGCGAAAGTCATTATATTGTCTAAATTATTACTTTTTTTGTTAATAAAGGTGTGAGGTCAGCATTTTTAAAAACACAACTTTTTATAGTTTTTTCATGCTGCACTTCACTGAGGAGTTGCTGGATACTGTATGTCTACAAAATACACAGTCACTACACTTTACTGCATATCATGTGAAGTACTTTGAGACATACTGCCAGCGTCAAAATACTATATAAAACACAAAGGGTTATTATTATTATTACTTCTGAAAACTTATATTTAAATTTATGATTTAAAAAGTATAAGTGCTGCCATGAATTTTATGGCCATATTTAACAGTCTATAGACAACTTTGTCACATAGTCTTACCTGAAAGAACTGAACATATTGTGACCAGTAATATCAAGAAGAATCTACTGCAGGATGTTCTTTTTCTCAAGTTACAAGTTGCTGTCAGTGCTAAACTAGCCAAAGGTGTAAACCGTCTGATGAACATGAAGATTTTCAAATTGGAACTGCTCACAGCCCAAAGGGTTAAGACAGAGTGAAAGCTGAAACAGATGGAAGGTATCAGCAGCTTCTCTCCAGTCTCCAGTAAATAGGGCTGGATCTTCAGCAATCTGAAACACCTCAGCAATTCCAGCACCAGAATGGTTAACAGTGCCTGCCAGAAAAACAACAAAAGCACACACTTTTAATAAGCAATCCTGTTAACATAAAACAAAAACAGAAGTCGCTGGGAACACTCAGCAAGTCAGGCAGCACCTAAGCAGAAAGGAACGTGAACCAACGTTTCGGGTCCATGACCCTTCAACCGTTCTGACGAAGGTTCGTGGCCCCAAATGTTGACTCACTTTCCTTTCTCCATAGAGGCTGCCTGACCTGCTGAGTGTTCCCAGCGACTTCCGTTTTTGTTTCAGATTTCCAGCATCTGCAGTATATTGTGTCCTGTTAACACAAATCTGTTACCTTTTCATTCTGGAGAGTATTGAGCATGATCCCCACTATCACAGATAGCCAATGAGGAATGATTAGATAAGCTTGGGCTTTTCAGCTTTGAAAAAATACATTTCAGAAGGGATCCTATAAATGTGTATAAGATGCTTAATAGGTAAGAAGAAATAAAAGACTCAAACAATACTTTCAGATGTGCCAAGGTAGCAGTACAAAGAGGCTACAGATACAGGTCTGTGAAGGATACGTTTAGGACTTATTTACTCATTGGAAATCAACAACATCAAATTACCAAGAACAGTGGTGAGGCCAGAATATTAGACGCATTAAGGAAACCGCCTGATGCTCTAATTGGAAGACAGTTTCTGGAAGATTGGGATCAAATGAACATATGGGGGCGCTGGGGTAATTCTTGGTTCCTTTTGTACTTTCTGCAGTTGTTCATTATCCAGATGGTGAGTCCCGTTAAACATGATCTCTGTACATTCATTAGAATTAATGAGTGCTATATGATGCATTGTAGATTCTTGACACATCCCTGACACAACAGCTGTACAGTGCTCCTTAGAAGCAGCTTCTGTGTTTTGTCCCTTTCTACCATAAATGCATTCTCATAGGAATGTATTGCATTCTTATACTCTCAACCTGTGGTGTAACTTAATGCTTTACCATTAATATGTATATTATGATATGCAAAAGTAATTCGGTAGAATTCTTGTGCGGGATGTTGGTGAGGCGACTAATTCTATCTCATTTGCCTCATTGCCTCTGTGTTGTTGTGGTTACCCTTATGCCAAACTGTAAAACCACCCGACTTCAAAGTCCACTCGACTATTGATTTTCGTGGCAAACATCTTCCTCGGCGAAAAAATGTTGGCCAACAATTCTGCAGGTTCCCGGGTGTGTTTCCAAGGTCAGATCGCACTCGGGGGCGAGAAACAGTAACCCGTTTAAGATTTAAAAATGCAGCCACGTCCAGAAATAGGTGGTCCCTCCTCAGCTCGCAGTCAGCGACTTGCGAGTGGGAGGGGGTTGTTTCGTATTGTTATGGCTTGTGTTTAGATGTAAGAGCGCCTTATCGCGGGGTGGAGAGACGGATCAAATCCCTCGCAGAGCGTATGGCATATTTCGAGAGGCTTGGACTGTGCACAGTGTTTCGGTGGGCGGGCGGCGAGACGCAAGTGCACAGGAAAAGCTGCAGAAGAGCGAGCGAGAGGGCGAGTGAGTCCAGTTAGTTAGTTAGTTAGTTAGTCAGTCGGTCAGTTAGTTGGTTTAGTTGGTTGTCTCGGGTTCCCCAGTTTGCAGGGAGGGTGGTGGTGTGGTGGTGCGGGGGTGTGGGTGTGGGGGTTTGATGGTGTGGGGGTGTTGGGTTTGTGTTGGGGTGTGGGTGGGGGGGGTGTTGGGGAGGGTGGGGTGTGGGGGTGTGGGGAGGGTGGCGGGTGTGGGGTGGGGTGGGGGTGTGGTGGTGTTGGGGAGGGTGGGGTGTGGGGGTGGGGGGTGTGGTGATGTTGGGGAGGGTGGGGGTGTTTGGGGAGGGTGGGGCGGTTTGATGGTGTGGGGGTGTTGGGTGGTGTGGGGGTGTTGGGGTGTGGGTGTGGGGGTGTGTTGGGGAGGGTGGGGCGTTGGGTGTGGGGAGGGTGGGGTGTTGGGGTGTGGGTGTTGGGGTGTGGGGAGGGTGGGGGTGTTGGGGTGCGGGGAGGGTGGGGGTGTTTGGGGAGGGTGGGGGCGGTTTGATGGTGTGGGGCTGTTGGGTGGTGTGGGGTGTTGGGGTGTGGGTGTGGGGGTGTGTTGGGGAGGGTGGGGGTGTTGGGGTGTGGGGAGGGTGGGGGTGTGGGTGTGTGGGGGTGTGTTGGGGAGGGTGGGGGGTGTGGGGGTGTTGGGGTGTGGGTGGGGGAGTGGGAAGGGTGGGGGTGTGGGGGTGTGTTGGGGAGGGTGGGGGTGTGGGTGTGTTGGGATGGTGGTGGTGTGTTGGGGAGGGTGGGGTGTGGGGAGGGTGTTGGGGAGGGTGGGGTGTGTTGGGGTGGGGTGTGTTGGGGGGAGGGTGGGGGTGTGGGGTGTGGGGAGGGTGGGGTGTTGGGGTGGGGGTGTGTTGGGGAGGGTGTGGGGGTGTGGGGTGTGGGGAGGGTGGGGTGTTGGGGTGGGGTGTGTTGGGGAGGGTGTGGGGGTGTGGGGTGTGGGGAGGGTGGGGGTGTGGGGAGGGTGGGGTGTTGGGGTGGGGGTGTGTTGGGGAGGGTGTGGGGTGTGGGGAGGGTGGGGTGTTGGGGAGGGTGGGGGTGTTGGGAGGGTGGGGGTGTGGGTGTGTTGGGGAGGGTGGGGGTGTTGGGGAGGGTGGGGGTGTTGGGGGGGGTGTGTTGGGAGGGGGTGGGGGTGGGGTGTTGGGGAGGGTGGGGGTGTTGGGGTGGGGGTGTTGGGGAGGGTGTGGGGGTGGGGGGGGGTGGGGTGTTGGGTGGGGGTGGTTGGGGTGTGTTGGGGGGTGGGGGGTGGGTGTGTTGGGTGGGGGTGTGTGGGGGAGGGGGTGGGGGGTGGGGGTAGAGCTGCTGACCTGGCTGAGTGCGATGAAGGCCGGGAAGGTGAAGCGGTATTGAATGATGAAGACGCTGTTGATGAATTCCAGTGACCCGGAGCACAGCGCGTAGACGGCGGTGGCGGCGACCAGCGACCAACCGCGCAGGAGTCGCTGGGGGACGGTCAGGGACACGGGCATCGCCGCCATCCTTCTGCTTCAGCTCGGAGGGGAGGGAGGGAGGGAGGGAGGGAGGGAAGGGGTGGAGAGTGCACACGCTCTTGGAGCTGCCGCCCCGTCGGTCTGTGGATAAAACATTAACTTTACAATGCAATCAGCCTGAGCCCAGAGGTAAAGGGCACCTGTCAGCCCGACAGCGGCCACTCGGGGCTGTCAGTCTGTGCCACAGACCTTTTTTTCTCACATCTGTTTACCCCCCAGTTTAAGGGGCTTTTATTTATTTATTCATTTATGTGTTTGTTTTCTTTTTGCAACCCCACCCCCACCCCCACACCCACACACACACACACACACCACCACCACCACCACCACCAAAAAAATTTTCAATTTAAATGCGTTTTAGTGTGTGTGTGTGTTTTTTTTTGCAAATTCGATGCAATTGAATTCCTTTTGAGAGTTCAAGGTCTTCCTTTTTTTGGGGGGTGGGTGGGGGGTGTTGGTGGGGGAGGACATCACACATCAATGTCCCCACGCCGTTGTTTAGGGTACAGATTTCAAAGGTCACTAAGCTTGACGGTGTGTTCAGGTTGAATAGACGTACACAATTGATGTTAAGTTATGCTTGTGACTGCACCTCTCTCTCTCTCTCTCTCTCTCTGCTGCAGAGAATTCGCTCCCTAACAGCACAAAAAGTGCACATGCAAGCAAGGCACATAAGGTTGAAATGTACACGAGAAAGGAGGCCGATGCTGACACTTTGCAACTCAATTTGCACAAGGAGCTCAATACCAGCTGATCCCACCTGATTCGATCAGTTTGCAATGCTGCATTCATCTCTGTGTTACACATCCCATGGAATTGAACGCATTGCACTCTTGAGGCTTCCAGGATTAACCATCCAACCCATTGCTCAATATTAACATTTATTTTCCACTGAACATTTAACTTCATTGAACACGTTTCCAAATTAGGAACCGCAAATTTATTCAGCCATTCATAAGATTCCTTGATTGTGATATTCCATCAGATACCCTACCTGATAATATTGCTGGAGCAGTAGTGACCAGGACAAGTGGACACACTTTCCACTCTGTTGGCACTGACTTGCTTCACTTACCGTCCTACTATCGGTGATGGTGCTTTTCACCTTTTTGCCCCACTCCCTGGAACTCCATCCCTGAATTCCTACACCTTGCCCCTTCACTAGCCTCCTTCAAGGTTCATCTCTAGCCCTTCCTCTTTCACTTGGCCTTTGATCATCTTTCCATCCCCTCCCCAGCTTGGGTGCAAACCCTTGATTGTCCAGCGCCTTCGGACATCCTCCCAATGTGACAGATGCTATATAAATGCAATTTGCTGCTGTTGTTTTATTCTGAAAAACTCCCAACTTTCTTGTTCCCTATCAGACAGGACAGTGATTTGGCTCAGGAATCCTTGCTCAGCTTGTATGATGCAGAGATCTGTAATCTTTAATTTACTGTATTTTTCTTTTGGTACATAACAATGTTGAATGTTGTAATTAAGGTACAGTGGGGTGGGGGGGGGATAAGATACAGCAGCAAAACATTTCGTAATTAAACAGCATATTAGGGTGGGACCAGGCAGTTATTGTGACTCCCACATTTATAACAGAAATAACTTCTTACATTGTTGACATAGTTCAAATAAGCTGGTTCACAGGCTGTGAATAGGAATCATTTTGAATGCCTGGTGTAGACATAAGTTTATTATTAATGCATGTTATCTTTCTGATGCTGGTATTCATTCAAATACAAGTGTCAGGTGATTCAGTCCGTGTTTGGCTTTTTAAATTATTCTTCATTCTGTAAGGTGACAAATTACATATAAAGTCACACATTTACCACTCCTAGAGCCAAGATTATGAAATGAGAATCAATGTAGACTGTAGAGTGTACTATGACAAGGATAGAACAGGTAAAATTTAGATTTTTCTTTTCCCTGTGGTGTAGACCTGTGTTGCTTACTGCCACCCACAGCACTAATACTATTCTAGATCTAGACTATTCTGATCACCACTGTCCTGATCACTACTGCTCCAGCAATATTGTTAGGTTGGTGTATCTAATGGAATATCATCACTCAATCCTCGAGGATTCTTATGAATGGCTGAATGCCTGTGTGGTTCCTGATTTGCATTTCTCAAGCAGCTGTCAACTACAAGGAAAAGCTGTTTCGCAAGAGATAATTTAGATTGCATCAAGAGTTTGAAACAGCTAACTTTGACAATGGATATAGCTCTAATGGAAGCTGACTTTTTCAATTCAACCGGCTATGAATGGGATAGTGGAAAATTTATGGATTGCAAGTGGGGGGGAAGATGAACAAAGGCACGGTCAAAGAGAAAGGTTTTGAGATGGATCTTGGAGGATGCTAGGGAAGGGGCAAGGCTAAGGAATTCAGGGACAGAGTTCCAAAGAGTGAGGAATTTTCGATCGTCAATCTTTTGGATTAGTACAAATTGAAGGGCCTACACAGATAAAACTGCATTATTCACCAGTGTTTGCAGTGTTCCTTTGGTATTTAGGAATTCCAGGCTGAACTATAGAGAAGCAAAGTTTGCGTTAAGTCTTTTCACCTTTACAACAAAATTACATTTCTATAGTGCCTTTCATGTCGGGAGGCCATCCCAAGGCATTGGACAATCAGTGTCTCAGATCCAAGCTGGGGGTCAGGATCGGGGAGGGTGGAGGGCAGTGGAGGGGAAGAAGGGTGACTGAAGGTACGGGCAAAGAGCAGGGTCTTGAGACAGGTCTTTAAAGAGGCAAGGGAGGGGGCGAGGCAGAGGGACTGCGGGATGGAATTCCAGAGGGCGGGGGCAGAGTGGCTGAAAGCCCACCCACCAATGGTGAGGCGGGCGAGGCAGGGGACATGAAGCAGTATGGAGCTCACTGAGCGGAGGGAACATGCAGGTTGGTAGGGCGTTAGGAAGTCCCAGATATATGGGGTAGCAAGGCCAGAGGGCTTTGAAATTGAGAACCAGGATCTTGAACTATATCCTTTGTGTGATGGGAAGCCAGTGGAGTCGGGCGAGGATGGGGGCGATAGGGTCACAGAGCCTGGTGCGGGAGAGGACACGGGCTGCAGAGTTCTGGATGATCTGCAGCCTATGGAGGGAGGAGTTGGGGACTGACAAGTAGGGAGTTTACATATTCAAAGCTGGATGAATGCGTGTATGAGGATCTTGGCAGCCTGCAGTGTGAGATAGTGGCGGAGCCGGGCAATGGTGCTGAGGTGGGGGAAGGCAGAATGGGGTGTAAAGGACTAAATTTAGTCCTTTATATGAACTGCAAATTTGATTCTTGGAACTCTGATTCACTGAATATGCTATTAGCATTGAACTGAGCATAGATCTGTTTGAAATTATCTGTTTGAAGTGATCTGTAGCTGGAATGCAGTTATGAATCTTTACTTTGCCAAAGTTTAACTACTGAGATAATTTTATTCAGACTATCTAGTGAAAAAATATTCAGAGTAAAATAGACAACTTACATTAATATAGCCCCCTTCAAGCAGAATAGCGTCTCAGAGCACTTAACAGTGGCAGAGCTTGACACTGAGCCAGGAGCAGTGACCAAAGGCAGGGTAAATGAAGAAGGTGTGATCTGAAGACGACAAGAGGAGGCAAGGTGGAAGGATTGAGGCAGAGAGTTCCATAGCTTTGGGGCGTAGAAAGCACAGCCGCCAATGGTTGAGCGGAGGGAATGAGCAATGTGTAGTTGGCCGGAGCCAGTTGAGCAAAGGTGGCTGGTAATGGAGTGGGGTGTAAGCATGTCAGAGGTAGGTAGGTGCCATGAAGTGACATATTTTATTGATTAGTTAAAATGTCATTCATCTTACTAAATATTATCCATTATTATTATTATCATGGTGACAATATTGCCAACTGGCTCTTGCATAATCAGAGGTTGGAGAATTGTTATAAATCCCAGGCGGCAAAATAGAGGAGCAAATGTTAAACATGCAATATGCCTTCAAAAATTATTTTGGCTTCAAATGGTAAAATATATGAAATAAAATATTCAACAAGAGCAATTTTGCAATTACTCACTACATGAACTGTCACAGTGGCACAGTAACCTGGGGCACCAATGTTTAGCAGCACGGAACAGTGATCTCCCAACTGTGCTTGCTTTCATATCTCAATTGTGCTGCCCAAGCCGGGGGAAAAATTAAAGTTATATTCTTCACTTAAATATTTCAGTCATTTCTTTTTAATACAGTAATCTAAGTATTTAATTCTTAATACAGTACAATAATCTACATGTTTAATTCTTAAATGATACAGTGAAATCTGAATGGATCCTGATCATCCTATGAACCAGACATGTAGAGTAAACCCTGGCATGGACTGGTTGAACCGAAAGGTGCTTTTTTAAATTGAATACTGTATGATAGAAATTTGCGTATATTTTGACATTCCATACCATACTTTTGTAGGGAGATTCCCTGTTACACATTTTAACTTGTATTGAACAAGATAAATAGCATTCAATCTTGGAAAAATATAAAGCAACTGCACTGCTTATTGAGTCATACCTTCGAGAAAGGGCAAGGCCTCAACATTTTCAAAGCTTATTTTTTAAGCCCTAAGGGGAACATTTAGCAACAAATGCAGGATCCCTGTGTAATATCAAAAGAGACAGGGAAATCAGAGATCAAGGCAGTGACAAGCATGGACTACAATGTGTGCTTTGGAGGCCTGAGGATATTGAGGTTCAGAGGCACAGCGGATATTCAGAAATGTAGTGGTCTCGTTTTACAACAAGAGGAACCCATTTAAAATACTGCTCTACAAGACAATTTGCAATCCTAGAATATCTGTGTACAAAACAATTAATGTGCACAATGCCATTAATTGTTGTTTTTTCAGATTTCAGCATAATTGCTTCTGTTGGGTCCATTCTTTAATCAGTTGATGTGCTATTGTCCATGGTGGTGGGATCCAAAATGGTATGGTTCCCATTTCATTTTTGCTAGGCATCCTTTCACGCCTTAAGGCTTCTGCCAACTCCTCTGCACCAAACCAACGAGCATCTTCAAGCTCAAACTGGTTCAGGGTAATCTGCAACCACAAGAAAATGCACTTTACACCAGTAATTTGCATTTTATATAGTGCCCTTCAAGTAGGGTAACATCTTGGGAGTGCTGTATAAAGGCAGGGCTCAGACCGTGAGCAAGGGAGAAGGTAGAAATGTATCCTGCACATGGAACAGAATAGAGTGTGTGTATCCCAACTTGTAGGAATTAATATGGAAAATATAAGAACAGCTCTCACTCACTATCACTAATCTGCAGGAAATGAAGGGCTTTGCTCCAAACAGAGCAAGTATTGAGCTGAGACTGGGAGCCCAGGGGAATAGAAAGATAACTGAAAGCACAAGCCAAGACTATATTAACTAATGTCATTTATTCTGCCACTCAGTCTATGAAATAAGAATATTTTACCATAAGTTTATATCAGGCCACCATGTATATGATGATTCATTGTTACTTTCAGAATCAAATCATTGTCAAAGCCAAAGAGTGCACCATAAATGCTGCTTCATTAATACACATGTACATTTTCTCTGCTTTCCACCTCTCTGATTTTTTTACCTTGATCTGGCCTGGCTGCACCATAGCATGAGATGCAATCATCAGCGAACTATTGGGAAAGGGCCAGTGCTGAGATGCAGCATATTTAGAGGAGGATACCTCCAAACCGACCTCTTCTGCCACCTCCCGGTGCACGGCTTGCTCCACGGTTTCCCCTGCATGTAAAAAAAAGGTTTTAAAACATCGGTATTCTGAGCGTCCAGTCCAGAAAATTGTACAGCAAGTCAACCAAAACCACATTCATATACCTGCAAATGTCTTGATACAGAATACCACTGGCAGAAGCATACAAACCGGTTACTTGCATACCCTCTTGACCAAGCAACGTTATGCAGAATGAAAAAGGAATGTAAAACTGTAACTTTGACGCATTTTACCATCCACAGTCTTTCTGACCTCTTTTTAAACATCTCCCGTCTGCTTTTATTTCTGTCTGGAATGTGTGTTTTCTTTAGAGGCTGAATCTCCCAGATGGGAAGTTTCCTATTCAACCAAGTCATTAGAGGGTGAAATTAAGCCACCCAGCACCTCTCACCAACAGCGACAGACATCCTGAGCTTCTCTCAGACATCTCCTTGGAGATATGCACCATAACTCTGTCCCAAGAAAGGAGGATGTCTCGAGAAACCCGAGCAAATCATACAAAGTACAGACCAAACGGGCTAGGAAGAAACGTGCATCCTGACAAGCAAATTTCACAGTGGAATGAAATCCCTTACCTTATATCTGGAAAATTTTCCATAGAACAGTCTCAGGTGAATTTTATTAGCTCTCACTTATAAGAAAAGGCTGATTACCAATGTCACAGAATCCAGCCAGTGCACTGTACATCCCAGAAGGAAATGCTTCCTGACGTGCTAGGAGGCACCGAGTTCCATCTGACACCAATGTGATAATCACTGGAGACATCTGTCACGTTGATAAAGAAATACAAGAAAATACTAGGAAGATACAGATAAATATATTCATATTGAGCACAACAATTGCAAGGATATGTGCACGTATTCACAAGGATAAACATACCATACATAAGCAGCAACACAAGCAACTATATTATACATGTGGACACATGCTCTTAAGCGTGAAATCCTTATGAGTAAATATACTATTCATTGAGGAGGAACGCTAACACATGAAAAGATTACACATGAAGCGTTGTGGACACACACTGGATATACTCAGGGAAGAGGAAGAATAGGAGAAAAATGTAATGTACTCACACAAAGAAAGCAACATGCAAGAATGCAAAATATGGGGCCATTATCCTATACCAAGCAGAACATGATAATTAAAGTCCACTGGACTGAACATCACTTTTAAAAAGGTTTTTTTTTCAAATGATAAAGCTGCCTCTTCTAATTTAGTCCTAAACATGGTAAATGGTTCAGATTAACTGAGTTCTGATCTGGATTAAGACATCAAGCTGGTAGTGCTTACCTGTGGGTAGTAGATTGTTCCATTTGAGCTACAGATTCTTCTGCTGCCAGACACATTCTTTTGCATAGGGTGTCCAGTCTTGCTGCAGTACAGGTGTGTGTTGTGCCAGCGAAGAAGGGCCTGAGCCTAAAACATATCATGTATCAAATACTCTCCACATGTCCAGACAGGCCATCTGACTTCAAACATAAATGCAGTCTAAAACTTCAAAACCGAGAATGCAATACTATGTGAATCATTCTCAGGGGTCAAACCACATAAACAAAAACGAGCACAGCAAGCAGGTTTCTTGCAGCAGAGGTCAACATTTTAAACTGTCTGCCATTAAATCCATTCATCAGAACTGCCATGTACTGGGGAAAAGTCTGTTTCACCAGATGTGCATCAACCTAGTGATTAAAATTTCAGCCACGTTGTCGGAAGGGTCCCAATGGCTATTCAAAGTACACAAGGGTACGGAGGCTGTTTCTATGAGGAAGACATTCTCATTTGCACTATCAAAGCTATGACTGTTTCCACAGAGAAATAAATTCCATTACCAAAGAGAATTCCACTAGCCTCCACAATTTTGTGTGAATTTTGCAGCAGCTTCACAAAGGGCACAAGATGTCTAACAAAAATTAAAAACAACAGGCATTTCTAGAAGCGATCAAATTAATTTTGGGTTTAGAGACTCTTGAAAACGGTGTAAAATATAGAACTTAATAGCCAAGCCAACCCTATCCCCCATCATAGGGTGAACAGTTGTACTTTCTTTTCCTTTGGATCTTTGTTTCTTACCCTGAGGATTTTCTGTACCTGATGCTTATTGACTTAGGAAACGTGCAAAAAAAATGAGATTATTTTGATTGTTATATGGGATTATTCTGATTGTTAAGGGCACATTTTGATTGTTAAGGGCACATTTACTCTGGTAACATCTATATCTTACTTGAGACAACATTTGAGCATTTTTTCCATCTAAAAGTAAGAAGGCTTTTCGTAAATCAACAAATGTTCCTTGCAGAAGCGATTCCGCTTTGGCCTTCTCCATTATTCCTGAAGTTAAAAATGCAAGTAGCAACAGTTAAAACAATCTTCTGAATTCTGTTCGTGGGGATATCATTGCAATACGACTTTAAAGCTGCTATTTGATGAAATATGATTATTTAATAAACGTTCAGGTAATTATCCTGGATCTCACTGCAAGTCAAAGTGTCAGGTTTATTCTTATATGCCCTACAGTGATGATAGCAAGAGTGCCACATCAGCATGTCCTAAATCCCTTGCGCTGAAGGACTGAGATCAAACAGGGGCAGTAATACTTTTGAAAAACACATGGGGTGGCAGGAAAGAAGAACTCAGGGAACGCACGCAAAATACGCAAGCAGAGGAGAACTTGAACTCATAAGGGACAAGTAAGGGGGTAGGGGATAATTCCCCAAAGAATATTCAACATTATTCCTAAAACTGTTAGACTCAGATGAGCAATGTGTCAAGCATTTAGTACAATTTAGACAATGCTCAGGCAGAAATAGCGTTCATGAGAATTAAAAAAGCAGACAGGAGGAAGAACTGGGAAAACAACAACAAAACAACATTTGTATAACGCCTTTCACGTTGGGAGGACGTCCCAAAGTGCTGGGAAGAAACAGAAAATAATGAGAAAGCACAGTCTGGTAAATTGGGTGAAATTTAGGCCAAGCATCAGACAAGTGACTCAGGTAATCACTATTTGATTCCACACAGATGCTGATATTGTCGTTGGTAATTAAAAGGTATCTTGTGTTAATTCATCTGAGGTTCTGTGTCAAAGTGCAAATGCTAAGGTGTGCATTACAGTTATTCCATGTTATGATGTACATTGCTGTATTATTTTATGTAAAGATGCGTTTTATAGTTAATCCAAAAACGTCATTTTTTATGACTAGCGTAGGAATCTCACCCAGATCAAGTGCAAACTGAGCCAAGTAACTGTCTGTACAGCCAAGCAGCACTGACTCCTCCAAATATTTCTCCTTTTGACCAAGTTTACGAAGAATTCTGTAGAGTTCTGGAATAAAAGATAATCTTGTGTAAAAAACAGTCCTGTTTCTGAATTTATGCTGCCAAATTATAGGAATCTGTAGTTGTGTTTTTTCTCTGGATGTAAAAAAAAACTTCACAAACAATAAGTCATGCAAAGGAGTTATAAGCTCTGCATGCTGAAGTAGAACTTCCTGTTGCTCATTGGCATTTGAACAGTGGTATGTGATTATTTCTACAAGTTGCATTTTGTACCAAATGACCCATTCAATGCCCAGGTCTGACACACTGCTATAAATGATAGGAAGGCCAGACTATTATTGAGCCACATAATAGGAATTATGTAACAAGCAACCATATTTAATTGGTTATTAATTACATAATTAATTTCCTATGTACACATGTTTTACATATCATGAATAACAGATCCAGATAATATATGACCTAAATTAGAGTAGCAAATATTATGGGGTGGAAGTAGCAAATTCACTGCTCCCAAGAAAAAAACTTATAAGCTGATATTATACAACAACAAAATTACATTCATAGAGCGCCTTCACGTCGGGAGGATGTCCCAAGGCACTGGACAGTCAGGGGTTAGGACCCAAACATGGGGGAGGGATGGGGTAGGGTGAGGGAAGGCAGAGAGATGGGAGGGCGACTGAAGGCACGATCGAAGAGGAGGGTCTTGAGACCGGCCTTGAAGACGGCAAGGGAGGAAGCAAGGCGAAGGGACTGTGGGATGGAGTTCCAGAGTGTGGGGGCAGAGAGGCTGAAAGCCCGGCCACCGATGGTAGGGCGGGAGACATGGAGCAGGCCAGAGCTCGCTTAATGGAGGAAGCTGGCTGGCTGGTTGGTAGGGAGTCAGCAGGTCAGAGAGGTAGATGGGTGCAAGGCCATGGATGATATACTGCACATTTGGCAGTGAATCTCATATGTATTTAAAAAATAGGGATTGAGGCAGTTTTGATCATGTCAGAGCACTTCTCCTGACACCACCAAATCCATGAACCCATCTTATTCTTGCATAATCATTACTAATCATGCATAATCCGTCCTTCAGATGAGACTTTAAACCGAGATCCTGTCTGCCTGTTCAGGTGGATGTTAAACATCCCATAGCTCTATTCAAAAAGAGAAGGGAGTTTCTCTCTCCCAGTATCCCGGTCAATAAATCCCCCAAATGAAATTGGTTGCTGACTTCATGGCTGTTTGTGGGACTGTATGTCTGTCTGCTGGTTTTGCCCACAAAATACACAGTCAATCCATTTTACAGTATATGCTGTAAAGCGCTTTGAGACATTATGATGATATAAGGCGCGATATCAAAATGCAAGGATTATTATTATAATCACTCATCTTCCCATTACCTTTAGCCTCATCCATCCAATAAAATATCTCTAACTGGAATAAAACAGAACTAACTTCTGTAGGTATTAATCCTTGGGTCACAGGAATTAAGGAGTCCTTAGCACATAAGATAGAAAAGGTGTGCTGCCTAACGTTGTGGTTCTTTCCATAACAATATAAACTGAAAGCAAATTACTTAGCAGAAGACTTCTGAGCTTCCTCCAGAGGGCCCTCAAACTCCAATACACATCATGAAATGTTGATTCAACAACATTCCTCTGTAAATTGCTATTAATACACATTAGTATAACTTAAAAACTGAACACTTCTTGCAATGTTTCCATACATACATAGACCCTGTGCCTCATTCCCTGAGAATGGGGGAGGAGAAGGAATGTTTTAAAGTACAGTACTGTAGTAATGCGGTGGATAACAGCTAGGCACATTCTTAGAATGCAAAGAGCAATACATTTTACTGCACTTTTGCTTCTCCAAAAAGCCTGTAGCCTTTGTTCTGACCCCACAACTTTTCCCAAAGCATTCTGTCCTGGATGTGTACCTGAAGCAGTCACAAATGGCACTGTGTATTTGTTCTCAGTTTTCTGCATGAGTGGAGAAAGGCTGTGAAAAAGGAGGAAGGACCCAGAGCTCAAAGCCTTCCTGCAAGCTTCATCATTTTCCTTCAGATCAAACAAGTGGCTGCCATTGAAACACAAAGGAAGACACATTTAGTGCAAACAAGGACCACGCAGCTTTTTCTAATCAAGTTCTTCAGGCATAAAGCAGCGAACAACAAATAAGCAAATCTTTCTAGGACACTCAAGTGCTAACCTTAGCCCCACAACTGATGATGCATCAACGCTAAACTACTGTTAAGTCTATTGAGGCGCAGAACATGTGTATCAGCCTGCTTCAGCCACAGTGTAAAGTACTGCTGAAGCCACAACCTCAAGATAGTTACGTTTCAATTTAAATTTCTCCCAAATGTGTAAAGAAATTACAGGATCAGTCTGTTTTAGCTGACCTGCAAGTGCTCAATGTTGGTGTTGGCTAAAGAAAGTCAAAGTCACTTCAGAAGCAATCAAGCTCTCATGTTGATGAGTGAATATTTGCCTCAAAATATAGAGTTGAAATAGAGTGCATGGGAATGAAACTCACCGCATCCGACTGACATAATTTGAAATGAATCTGCAGGATGACGGCAAGGCTAGCCTTTTGAGATTCCTCAACAGGAGATACATATCTCTGCCTTGTGCTGCTTCAGTATCTATTGCATTTGTGAATTAGGTTGACCAATCTATTTCAAGAATAAAAACATGTTGGTGATTAACAAAAAGAGAAATGAACAACATTTATTGCATCTTAAAGTATCTCCTTTTTCTAAAGTGTTCTGAGATGGTTTTAGATGTTTTTAGTGTATACAGTAAATTGAGTAAAGGTGAGTAAAATCCAGAGCCCTCCTTCTTGAAAGGCATGACATAAATGCAAACTGTTGCTGTTGTTTTAAGGTGGCAAGCACTATATTAAATGCAAAAACTGTTACAATGCAACAGGTGCAAACAGATGTATTAGATCGAGCATGGGAACACTCATACTGTACATCCAGAAGGAGATAAACAGGCTGTCCAGGTTGCAGACAAGGAAAACTTCCTGTTCTTGTAAACTATACACTGTTTACTAGTGCATGCTATTTAAAATCTGTCTGGCATCCTGAAAAAAATTACAATGTTGCATTTTTCAATGAATGACAGATTCTGAATAGTTGGCTCTTGAACACCGCTAATGAATTCAAGTCCCAGAACTGTCTGTCAGTCATAATAATAATAATAATCCTTGCATTTGATACAGCGCTTTTCACATCGGGGGGACGTCCCAAAGCGCTTCACAGAACACACTGTAAAGTGAATTGACATTTGTGTGCGAACGCGGCAGCCAATTGCTCACAGCATTGTCCCACAAACAGTCGTAGATTGAAAATGACCAATTTATTATTGCTTTTGGTTTTGGATGGATTATTATTAGGTGTGTGGAGTAAGGAAACTTGCCCAAGGTTTCGCCCTGACTTGCCTGGAATTGAACTCAGGTCTCTCACTTGCAAAGCGAGTGCTCTAACCACTGAGCTACAGGACTCATCAAAACTGCCTGAGCTGATGTTGTTTTCTGAATTGTCAGCCATATCACATCAGATTTAATCTCTGGAAATGAGAAAACCTGTCATTGTGTCACTTCTTCCACTTTCTAAGTGTTCATTGAAAGGCATTCATAATAAACATCATATCTCAAGACAATCTTGCCCTCTCTGGTGGTGGTGGTGGGGGGTGAAAGAGTGAAAAACGTGCATCATATTTGATCTATACTGAGGATAACAGTACTTTGGCACAACAGTACAGATACTTGTTAAATAATCCTATGGGTTTCAGGTTCAAATTGCTGCAATAGCAAAGTGGCATTGTTGCAACCTGAGTCAATCTTTAAGGATGAGTCTAATACAACAACAAGATTCCATTTATAAAGCGCCTTTCACGTCAGGAGGACGTCCCAAGGCGCTGAGACATTATTGAGACAATAATAATAATTGCATTTGATAAAATGCTTTATCACATTGCCAGAACATCTCAAACACTTCACAGGACTAATTAGGATTTCTGTATTTCATTTATTTTATTCTTCTCTCCTTTTGGAAATACCTACAATTCCACAGGGGTCATTGAAACTACCTGCATAACATTGCCTGAGTGGCCATTCTTTTTGTGTATGCTTTGTAGAGTGTCAATAGCCTACAAGCCTGATCCTATCCTCATCCGTATTCAGTGTCCTGCAGGCATCATTTAATAACCAGCTAATTTTACTTTCTGTAGCTCAGCATCTCTGGATCTAATCATAGTGCTCTCACAGCTATCACTAGTATCATCCAACTCTATGAAACACTAGGTTGTTCCAGTGCTGTATGGCTGATTCAAGTGTGGCAGTGCCTTTATCAGGTGAGGAGTGAATTGGTTTCTCTGAATATTAACTAGTCATCAAACTAAATACTAGGTTCTACAATTCAAAGTACTAAGTGCAGGAGGCATTAAGAGGCACCATGACTGATAGCGGCTGGGAGTGACAGGCTCCGTACAAGAAGCAACTTGGTGGTCAGGATGCGTCCCTCCAGAGAGTGCGCATTCCATTCAAATAAATATCTCTGGAATTTCCATGGGTAGGTGGGATGCATGGAATTCTCAGTTTAGTTTGGATACTGTTGATAATAATAACCCTTGCATTTGATATAGTGCCTTATCACGTCTTTGAGGTGTCTCAAAGTGCTTCACAGAATATCCTCTAAAGTGAACTGTGTATTTTGTGGGCGAACCGCAGCAGCCAATTCCGCACAGCAGTGTCCGACAAACAGTCGGGGATTGAAGTGAACAATGTATTGTTGTTTTTTTTAAAAAAAGAAATTATTACCCGCGTAAAAGCGATCCGCCAATCGACTAACAACCGAGTTCCTATTTACTGCTCGGTAAACTGCTGGTTAAGCATGATGATGGGTTTCCACAAGTGTCAAGACTGACCAAAAAAAAAACATAAAAGCTGGTATTTCAATTGTCTTGTTGTACCTGTGATCACGGGACTAAGGGTCACGTCGGGCGACCGTACGTCGGTGGAGGGTTCAATTTTCTCACATAGGTGACCCTGCGCCTTGGAACGTCCCGACGTGAAAGGTGCTATACAAATGCAATCTTGTTGTTGGATTTGGTTTACAAAATGTGTGTAGGTCAACCTAACTGGAGGGCCAGGGGCAGTCAGAGGAGAGGAGAGGAGGAGAGCCTGACAGGCAATGGCAAGAGGCCCAGGCAGCGCGGGCTGCAACTGGTCACACGGCAACAAATAAAAGGCGTCGACATCGGAGAGAACACCAGAGGAGAGTCAGAAAATGCACATTTTTCGCCTCTTGTGAAATGAACTCGTGTCTCTGACGGTGTCCGGCGCCGCTGCGCCTTCCCACCCAGGCCCTCCCTCCCCGGCCCTCCCTCCCCGGCCCGCTCCGCCTCCCAGGCCCTCCCTCCCAGGCCCTCCCTCCCCGGCCCGCTCCGCCTCCCAGGCCCTCCCTCCCCGGCCCGCTCCCCCTCCCAGGCCCTCCCTCCCCGGCCCACTCCGCCTCCCAGGCCCTCCCTCCCCGGCCCGCTCCGCCTCCCAGGCCCTCCCTCCCCGGCCCGCTCCGCCTCCCAGGCCCTCCCTCCCCGGCCCGCTCCCCTCCCCGGCCCTCCCTCCCCGGCCCGCTCCCCTCCCCGGCCCTCCCTCCCCGGCCCGCTCCGCCTCCCTGCCCTCCCTCCCCGGCCCGCTCCCTCTCCCAGGCCCTCCCTCCCCGGCCCTCCCTCCCAGGCCCGCTCCGCCTCCCAGGCCCTCCCTCCCCGGCCCGCTCCCCCTCCCCGGCCTCCGTGATTATTTGACCGACGGGGAACCGACGCCTCGCGAGGAGGAGAATGACTCCCTCCCCTCCTCCCCCGCGAATAAAAAAAATAAAGCAAAAACGACAAGAGTCACCGAGAGAGATAAACCGACTATAACTGCCGCCACCGGGGGAGCGCGGCCGCTTAACCACACCAACCGCTGCTCGCTCGCTCGCGCTCACTCACTGCTCTGCTCTGCGCAGGCGCGGTGTGTGTGTGTGGTGGTGGGGGGCGGTGTATCTCCAACATGCTCACAGCGCCCCCTGTGGCCGGAGGGTCCAACTGCGCGGGGAGTCCTGTGCCGGGTGGGCGTGAGTGACTATGTGAGTAGCTGCACGTCCTTGGAAAGGAAAGGAAAGGAAAGGGAAAGCCCTGAGGGAGGAGGGGCCGGGCCGGGCCGGGCAGGAGTGGGGGGAGGGGAGGTCTGTCTGTCTGTCTGTCTGTTGTGCTGTTGCTCCGAGCCAAAGGGGAAGGTCCTGAGACAGGCCGAGACAAGAGGAGTCCACACAGACAGACAGAGACAGACAGACACAGACAGACAGACCAGGTAGGGCTCTCACTGAGACTACTCTCACTCACTCGTTCTCAGCAAAGTCTCTCTCTTGTTTTAATCTCTCTCCCCTCCCCCCCCTCTCTCCCCCCCAAAAAAAAATCACTCACTCACTCACTCAATCAAATGAAACGGTGTAAACCAGATGTTTTCAGCTCTGCCACTGCCTCGAAGTGAGGGTGGTCTTTTGTTTTGACAGGACCCACCCAGACTGGGAGCTCTCAGCCACTTAACTATTTGGTGACCTATGAGTAATTCCGTCAATCGAGGGAAAGCTTTCAAGGGTCTCGGAAGCTGTGGACGTCAAAGCAGCAATGGTGCAGCACAAGCCGTGTACTTCCATGGAATGTAAATGGCAAACGCCCAGTGTTTTAGGGCATTCACAGCTCGCGAGCGAGGACGAGGCCATTTAGCTCCCATCTAAGCTACTCTGGTACAAACTATATACTGTGACTCGAATCCCAGTTTCCTACGCTTTCTTTTCCTACGTCTCCTTTCTTTTCGACCGCGCCTTTGGTCACCTTGTCCCCCACCCCCCCCCCCCGGCTCGGTCCCGGGATCCGTTACTGTAAAGCGCTCTGAGACGCCGTCCGGCGTGGAGAGCGCTATATAAATCCAAGTTGTTGTTGTTTCACTGCATTCTTTTACCATTATTTACCTTTAACTACAACAACTTGCTTTCATATAGCCCCCCTCACACAGGGTAGGGTCCCAGACCACTCGACAGTGACAGAGCAAGTCTCCGAGCCAGGGAGAGGTGGAATAGGAAGGTCTTCAGGCATGACCTGAAGATGGGGAAGGAAAGGACAAGGTGGAGGGATAGAGGAAGAGTGTTCCAGAGTTTCGGGACGTAGTGGCCGAAAGTGCGGCCACCAATGGTGTAACGGAGAGCACAGGGGACATGCAGAATACTTTAAGTACTTATCCAACCTTAAGCTGTAGAGTCAAGTTGTTTGTCATACCATTTGATTACTTGTGCCCGAACAGTTCAGTTATTAGTCAGTTAACATATTAAGATGTAGATGGCTGGGACATAACAGGCTGCCTTGTAATAGATCCTCCTACCACATTGAAGGCAGTTATCTGTCAAACATGATGAGGAAACTGATGCTTGGGACAACAGCTGCTGGAGATTAGGTTCATGAACACGTTTTCATATACCCAGTGCTTGGTATACACCTTGATTGATGTCCAGAAAGTTAAGCAGCTGCTGGCTGAGCCTCTGCTTCTTCAACTGGTGGAACACAGTTCATTGAATGAAGCTCAAAGCTTTGTTTGTGAACATCAGTGACAACCAAGGTGACATGCTTGACCACAGAATGTCAGAATTGAGTCAATCCTCCCTGGAAGTCTCTGAAGTCTGGTTGCTGGGCCAGTACTCCAGGGCACTGCTGCCAACAGATCAGATACTCTGGCATATCGGCAGGACTAGGCTCATCGGTCAGTCATTGAGGGCAGGGATTCTTCCCATTTGGCTGCTGTTAACCCTGCAAGCCAAAATGATAATGAGCAGGGTGACAAGCATCAAGAAGCTTGCCAGACAGTGCTCTCAATGGGAAGCTCTATGTACAGTTTTCGTTGGTTAGACACCAGCAGTACCCCAACATTCACTCTGAGGTCTCCAAGTCTTGGCTCTCACCAATCTGCACTAATACATTCCTGATTTAGCTAAGCAGGGTGTGTCCTTCCATGAACAGAATGATCATTCTATTCAAGTCACAGGCAGATGTCATTGTGTAGTTGGTGTACATATGGCAGCGCCTTGGGATGTCCTCCTGACGTGAAAAGCACTATACAAATGTAATTTGTTGTCTGGTCTGTAGTCTCGTTTGAATATACTTGAGTATGGTGATGGGTTTCTGCATGTGTCAAGACACCTGGCTGATGAAATAAATCTTATTGCATATAAGGGTTGGTAGTGAAACTCTTTTTGTAAATTTGACATTTTTGTAGAAGGGGTGCTGCACAGAAGGCTGAAATGGGAGTAATGTGTATACATACCCTTCCACAATCCACTGTGACAATGGTGTAAATGCACTTCAGTTGCATCAACACTTTAGATATTACAAGGTAAGCCATTGCAGCAATGTCATAATGATGTTCTGATAAGGTGACTTAAGCTGGTTCTCAGACCGGCTGACGTACCCAGCCCTTCTTTCCTTTTTTTTCTAACTAGCTTACATTTTAGTTCTGTACTGTGCTTCTTCCTGTAACATCTAGTAATAGGAAGTTATATTTAGTAAGTAGTCTAGGCAGAAACCAGCTCCTTGGTTGAAATGACTAGGTTTTATACAGGACTGCAATAACATTAAGTGTCTGTTGAAATTTTGAGGGAGGGAATGTGTTGGCAAAAATACATTTGAAAACCTTATATCCACACTAATTGGGAATTGTTTTAAATCCTCAAATTCTTAATGTTCTCAATTTTTCAAGGTGTTTGCGCAAATCTAAGCTGCTTAAATATGCTACTTTTCTAAATCACTACAAGGTACCGGATGGCAGCCAAAACAAACAGTAATACAATATACAAGTAATATGTATAGACTGTGCTTTATCCTTGCACTATGTTATGGAGCAAATCTGATAGGATTATAATTCATGTTGTTTACAGTGTCACTATAATTGACTGTTATTCAGGTTAGTTTCACTCAGGTAATCTTCTAGTTTACTTCTGTTGATTGATTCATTAGATTTCAAGTAATTCACCTCAGACTTTTGGGTCTGTGATTGCCAGGTACAGTTCTGTTGTCCTTGAATATGGGAGCACATGTTTGCCCATTTGGATGATTTGCAAAGATCCTGCACAAAAGGCTCATTAAATGTTAGCATTCAGTACAGTAAGTACACGTTGGCATTGGAATCCATTGTTTAACCTTAATTGTTTCAGTAGATTAATGTTCTTTGTAAATTTATGTGTTCGTCCCTCTCCTCCCAACTAGCTCAACAAAGTGCTTTTTTTTACATCATTGAAGTTATCCCAAAAAACATTCACCACCAAAGCGATGTGCACTTGATATATTTGTAAAGTGTTTTTGAAAATGGAGGTGACCCTACTCTTTTAGATTAGATAACCCTACATCAAATTGAAAAAGTAAATATGTCAAAATATCCTGTTCATTTAAAATGAGATAAATTAAGAAATTGGTCTTGAAAAGTAAATTTCAGATGGGACAGAAGATAACAACGTTCTTTATTATTGATGAAGCTGGCATTATTTATAATATTAAATTGAACAAAATGTTCATCACTAGAATCTTAAATGTTTGTGATTTCTGAGCTATGAACCAGTTCCAGTGGATGGCTAATTTGAATACAGAATCTGTTATTGTTTGCTGCATCACACGCTGTGTTATGAGCCGGTCATTGATTAGTTCAATGAAACCGTTCATTCCAGTTTTCCCTTGTATGTGCATTTAACCTTTGCCATATTGAGCACCTTATGGTTCGCGAATAATGATTTTCTGCAGCCTCTCTTTCTTGCCTAAGGAGCTGCGTCTGATTATGCTGAGCTGTTGTTCTTAGAATGACATTATGCTGATGTATTGCTAATCATCTTTTACGCCAGGAATGCTTTAGGAAAAATAATAAATAATTTTAAGTGCAGATGGCCTTGGATGATTTTTAGCATTGTGCAATTGTTTGGGCTTGTACCTGCATGAATGCATGACAGGCACAGTGTACATGTACATACAACCTCAGGGCAGCATCTAGCCTGCCCAATCTAGATAGTTATTCATTGTTCAACAAAAACAGAAGTCCCTGGGAACACTCAGCAGATCAGGCAGCATCAATGGAGAAAGGAAAGTGAGTCAACATTTCGGGTCCACGACCCTTCATCAGAACTGGGCTATGTAAAATGGACGAAGGATCGTGGACCCGAAACAGTGTTTCCCAGCAACTTCTGTTTTTGTTTCAGATTTCCAGCATCTGCAGTATTTTGTGTTTAGTTGTTCATTGTTATTTATTATCATATTTAGATTTGAATACCTAGTGGAATACTCAGCCTGCTGAGAAAAAAAGGTTTTGATTTACAATTGCTTTTTGTTTATTATGTCACAAAATTTGCCATTTCAATCAAACTGAAATAAACAGTTGAGTACCGTTGTTATTGAATATTTCACTATGTTGTAGCAACATTATTGTAATTAAGTATCATATAGGACTTACAGCACATAAGAGTGATGGACTCAGTCCACGGTGTTTGCTTGTGCTGGAACTACCTATTCTGAACCCATTTACCTGCTCTTCCCCCGTAACCTCAGTATTTTACTCAAGTATTTAACTAATTCCCTTTCAAACAACATTTGCTTATCAGAAATGAACCTTTGGCTATAGCAAGTTTTAGTACAATGTTCAGAATTAGAGTACTCTACCAGAACTCTAGAGTGTAGGTTTAGGGACAGAAATGTTTAAAACACATTTCATAACAGAAATGTAAAATATCACAATATATTACAAAAAAAACATTGTGAGTATTCAGTGCAGTGAGTGCTTGTGGCCCTTGAAATTCAGTCTCCTAATGACACTTTTGTAACACTGTTGTAACACCAGTCCAATTGCTGCTCTCAATCTCAATCGATTCATGTTCATGACTATTTGATATACTCTTCCTCTTACCTCATTAACAAAAAAGATTTGGGCTAGGGGATCGGTGAAAATAATGTTTCAACTTAACGTAACAAGATCCACTGCACTACAGCGACATCCTGGAGCCTTGAATCAACCCATTCCAAGTATGAATTCTATCCCCTCCATCCTTAATGATAGCAGAGATAGAGTTTCTCCTAGGTTAGGAGAAATGTTTTTACTCATAGAATAGTTAGGATATAGAATGCCCTGCCAGGAGCTGTGATTGAGGCAAAATCCATATTAGATTTCAAAAGGGAACTCGATAGATATCTCAATATGAGTAAGCATAGGCACTGGGGAAAGGGCAGGTAAATGGAACTGAAAGGATTGCTTATGAGAGCCAGCATGGACCACGATGGGCCTTCTTC